GCTTTACCAAAAGTCTTACCACAAACATACCAACCTGTTTTGTTGATGTATTGTCCTGGCTGACAGCTGCTGTGTTTCTGTGCTGCTGCACAGTTGTTCTCTGTAGAGTCGATACAGAAGAATCCCTCCAGTGGTTCACAAACTGTGTCTGATGTTGTTGTACATGAAGTCTTTACCTTCAGACCAGAACCTGTGAACACATGTACAGGATACATAAGATGTTACAGAATCTCTCTTCTCTTTAATGTACCACTTTTTTGCAAGGACTCTGTCAGAACAGCTGTCTCAGTTGTTATACAGCATTAAAGAGGAGATCTTATTACACTTTGGCACAGAGAAGGTCAAACATTGTAATTTGTAATTTTGCAGCATGACGTGCAGCAACAGGTCTCATTACCAACTACGAATCTGTTCACACAAAGACATTGCTACGAAAGCTTCAGAAATAATAATTAAAAATCTACCTGCATCACAGTTTGTACAAGGGTAGCACTGCGTAAGTCCAGTGCGTGTGTTCATGAAGCGTCCATCACTGCAGGGCAGACAGGCACTAGTTCTGTACTGGAAGCAATGTCTTAAAACACGACTTCCTGTTGGAAAGAAAAACAACAATTTGCTTTCATGTAATCATGTTTTGTATTAAAATAATAGTCTTCAGAGTAAAGTACATGATGTGAGCTCAGCAAAGTAACATGCTGCTGTCTACTACACTGTCATTACTTTACCGAATAATCTACATTATTTTTATTTTTATGGAATAAAACTCCAGTTAGATGCAGGTCCTTGACCAGTTTGTATTTGTGAACAGCAGCCATAGGAGAGAAAAAGTGAAGTTGTACAGTGATTATCGAAAGACAAATGAAATTCAGTTGGATCTTACCAGGAGGACATGTAATACAACAGTGATTCCCTGTCTGATATTCTGCTGGATGACATATGTGGGTTTGACCAGTGAAGACTTCCATCATGATGATCTGTGGAGAAAAGAAAAAGTTCTTTGTCTAAGTGAAGCCTCAGTTGAAGTTGAGGCAGAGAAGAAGACCTGAGGTGAGGTGATGATTGTGATTATAAGAACATGACAGATTTGGTTTTCTACAGAGACAGATGTGTGTCCAACGTGTGACAGAAGTTGTTGAAGCTTGTTGAAGTTCTGAAATCACGCGGGAAGAGATTGCATTGCAGCTGTTTGGATTTCATCTGTCCATTTATTTCTACCTCCATGAACCATTTACACCTACAAATACGTACCAATAGAGAACAAGTTAAAAATACTGGTTTTATACTTTAAGTCAGCATAGATGCACAGCTACACCAACATAGTG